GACTCTAATTCATATGCACGAATGCAAATGTCGATTTTTTTTTGTTCACTTTATGTTGGTTCTTTCTTTACCGACAAAACAGACTGAAAAAAATACCAAAAATTCTTTATTAAGTCTCAAAAAGGCACATTTTTTTTATATGAAATAATAATCTGCGTTGGGTTAAAACTTTATATGCTTTAGTTTTACCATTTAGCATAAGTATGACCAATCAAATTTTTAGTTTTCTTAACAGGGCATGAAAGAAGAAAAGTCATCCTTAGCTTTAAAATACCGACCAGTTCACCCAAAATTTTATTTAAAATCATTGGGTGAACTTCATTAATTAATAATCATAGTTAAAATGAGAAATTACTTGTTCGAAACCTTTTCGCACTGTATGTGCGTTGTTATTTTTCGACAATAATGTACTTTTAAGAGTTCACAAGACGAAAATTGAAACCTCTTAGTTTATAAATAATATATTGAGAATGATTTTTGTCATTTATTTTGTTTATTTTAATAAGGCATAGTTTTCTTTTCATTCCACCCCTGAAACATCGACGATGTATTTTCCCCGTTGGCCGGATTTCGGTGGAAATAATCAAAATTAGCAATTTGATATCGAGCGGTGGTAGCATAAAGGAGAGCCCGTTCCGCCTAACAACAACAGTTGTGTTATGTTTGCTTATTGACACAACAATGTTAGGACATGGGCGGGGGCGGCAGCCGGCGTGGAAAGGCGGCCATCTTGCTGCATTCTGCGATGCATCACAACGGACTAGCATATGTGCCCACCCCGCTCGGACATGTTCACCGGGGGATTATCATCTTATGGAAATCCATTAGTCTTAATGCACATCCTCCTGGCCCAATAAATCAACCTGAGCCTCGACTGGCGGCCCTGACCAGGTTAAACCCAATGAGACGGACGTTGAGGTCTTTTGTCTTCCCATTGTCAAAATCAAGCATGAATCACGAACTTTTTTATACTTAACTCAATAAATTTTCAAAAAAAGACTGCTTAAAAGTTTATTAGACTTTTTTAAATTTTAATTACGCTTGTAAATTCGGTTTTGTCTCAAAAATTTTACACCAACTTGCAATTAAGAGTTAAATTTTTTCGCTATTTTTTTCCACCCCATGACAAAATTTTTATATATTTGTATACTATTATATTTGCTAGTGTAAAATTAACCTTAGAATATCTAAATATTTGGTTTGATCTCTAGTCAAAAATTCAATTCAATTAGCTGTAAAATCAAAACACTATGCGAGATTTGATCCCCGAACCGCTTGCTTGGCTAATACGAGTCGGATGTCCGGTTGTTCCATAATTTTTTGAAGTCGTGAGAAGCGTTCAAGAAGGAGGTAGTTTAGCAAAACACCTTTTTTATCTTTTACCGACGTTTCGACCTTTATTCTGGTCATCTTCAGGGCATAAAGTGTGGTGCTATTCTTGTCACAACAACCAATATGACACCACAAGAATAGCCTCGCTTTTATGCCCTGAAGATGATTTTTATTTATTTGCTGACGTTTCGACCTTTATTCGGGTCACCTTCATGGCATAAAGGTCAGGCTATTCTTGTGGTGTCATATTGGTTTTGTGTGAAAGTGTTGTGACAAGAATAGCACCGCACTTTATGCACTGAAGATGACCCGAATAAAGGTCGAAACGTCGGTCAAAAAATAAAAAAGGTGTTTTTCTAAACTATCATTCTTGACCGCTCCTAAAGACGTCAACCAACTATGGAACAACCGGTCACTATGAAAACCCACATGTTATAAATTAAAATTAACGACATCCGACTCTCGTATTTGCCAAGCAAAGCGGGCGGGGTTCAAATCTCGCGTAGTGTTTAGAATTTTATTTTAGAATAATTTTAAAGCAATTTAAAGCGGTTTCTCAAGGCACTTTTACGGATTAACGGACCTTAATCCTTAAACCATAAGACGCACCATTTCCATTTTTTCCTGAAGTATTGAAAAAATTAATTTTTTCTTGTACAGTTTATAATTCAATTTATTTTAATTAATTTTGAATTTTTTTTGGCTAAAATACATAACAAACAGCTGATATAGTGAGGCCCAAGAAACAAATAAGCAAAATTTGTAAAAACAAATTTTTTAATTGAAAATGAAAATAAGGGTCATAAACAGCTGATATAGTGAGGCCCAAGAAACAAATAAGCAAAATTTGTAAAAACAAATTTTTTCATTGAAAATGAAAATAAGGGTCATATGAAAATGGTTTTTGAACGTCTATTTGCACAAGGTACTACCAAAAAAATAAATTTTGGAATTCCACTTTTTTTCTTTTGGAATCAAGTGCCCTTGAATAAATGTTTTCTTGTAATAATTTCCACATATATTCGTAATTTTTATCGAGTATTTTTTTATATACAATTTGCGAACTGGTTAAAATTATCTATCCTTCGGCTCTTCATTACCCCTCTTTTAGTTGGTAGGGCGTCCGCAAGGGCGAAGGTTCAGCCCTTTGCCGACGGAGCGCCACACTACGGGCCCTCTGCCCTTATCGTCGAAGTCACCATTTGACCACTAATTCACCCACTTCCCCACCCCTTTGGTAACGAAATTCGATGTACAATTAGGTTTTTCAGTGAGAAATTATGTTTTTAAATCTAACTGAGCTGATGACGCTAAACATGCAAACTTTCGTTATTTTACCCTTAAAAAAATTTTGAAAAAATATTTTAAATTCTTTAGTCCAACTATCCCTTTTTTTGGAAAAAAGCAGGTAGTCACGGTTGAATTTTAGTATGATATTACATAATGACATAGAAAGACAAATATTTCAAAGTTGATTAAAATTCCCATTATAGAAGGCTTTTATCATTTAAATCCGTATATTTCAAGTAATATCTGACTTATGACAAATCGATTTCTTTTCTTTTTTTTCAATTTTAAGCTCTATTTTTTTTTAATTGCGTACATTCAAACACAATACTCTGTTTGTTGATCTAGCTAAAGGGACATTTCAAAATAACCTCAGTGTATTTTGACAATATCACATTACAAATATGGTGTGTTTTCTTTGTCAATTAGGATGAGGTGAATTAGCATAAATTGTTAGTAAACTGAGAGGCTTTCATAGTCTATACATCAGAGAAAAAAAACTAGATTTGAAAGTGCTCAATTCATTTTCCAGTCAGAGCCGAGAGTTGATCTTCGTTTTGTCGTCATTACTGATCGTCTTGGTCCGGCTGTTCCCGCTTTTATAGCGTTTCGACATTTCGCATAATCATGGGCGAGTTCAGAGAAAATATATTTAAAAAAAATTCAAAATCTGTCAGATCAAAACAGCGATATCTTCGTATTCACAATCAAATCATTAAAAAAAAAATTGAATGTTCTCGATTTATTTTGGTGTCAGTTAGGAGCTGTTGTTAGTACTTTTTAGAGCCGGGGAGTTGACCTTCGGCCCATACTCGCCTTTTTGGCTTGACGCCTTTCGACTTTTTGCCATCATCATTGGTGGGTTTAAACAAAATATTAAAAAAATAAATAAATAAAAATCTGACCAATCAAAACAGCGAAGTTTTCTTAACTACAATCAAATAATTTTGAAAAAATTTGAGTTCTCAATTTATTTTTGTATTAGTTAAGAGCTGTTGTACGGACATTATAGAGCTGAAAGTTGACCTTCTGGAAGATCTTTTGATTTTTTTGCCATCGTCATTGGTGAGTTCAAACAAAATATACATATTTTTAAAAAATAATTAAAAATCTGACAGATCAAAACAGCGAAGTCTCCTTAACCACAATCCTAAAAACTAACTAAAACTATGAAAATCTGATGGAGTGTTGGATTTTTTTGTTAGTTTTTATTTTTAATATGTTTTGCATTCTAGGCACAAATGCCACATTATGTCACATTATATAGCATAAATTCAATCATAAGGTATTAAAACCCAGTATTATTTTTCGAAAAGTGTCCGAAATATTATAATTTGGCTCTTGGCGTATCAGGTTGAATTTGAGTTTAACGTCTTTAAATCCTTATATCCGCGGATCACGTTTCGTTTGACACATTTTTCTACCTGCTGCGATTATGTTCGATTTCGTTATTGAGGGACAAAAATTGTTGTTTGTTGTTGCTGGTATCGACCGAACGGCGGTGTGATTTCACGGGGGGGCGTCCGTCGGCGGGTTTTTTCCCGGGTCGGCATGAATGATGAACAGGTGTCAGTGCGGTCGAGGGTGTTCTCTTGGCGGAGTACGGGCGGAGAGTGAAAGTGATAGGAACCTTACTAAAAATTACGGGGGTGGCTACCCCTCCGAGAGATCTTATTCTCATTCATCCCCTCCCTTGTAAATTCCCCCACCATCTCCTTAAACACCCCACCCGCACCTAGCCGTAGAATTTTTACCACTGACACTTACCCCGGGCCGGTTCAGTGTCTGCCGAGAGACGGGTAGCGCGAGCGGTGAAAATTTTGTTGTTTTTTTTTCTCGAATTTTTCCGTGGGATTGTGCGTGGCGGCCGCGACGGTCGGGGCCGAGGGGCGATGCCCTTTCTGGAAAGAGATGTGACTTTTTCTCCAGGGGTCGGGGGTGGCGTAGGGGAAGGAAGACGCGGGTAAAATCTTAACGGTGGGGGGGAAGTGTGGGGGTGTGGGAGTGGGGACGCCCTTCAGACGCCGGCGCGGAAAACTGTAAGGAAACCCCCCCTCTAACTGCAGGGGGGCTCGGTGGGGGGGGATTTTTCTAAGAGATGCCTGGAAGACGGGGGGTGCTTCAGTCGGCGACGGGACTCTAGTTCGGCAGTCCCCCGCCCCCGCCGCCGCCAAGAGAGATCTCAGAATTTTTTCCGCCCCCTCCAGCCCTCCCTCCTTAACCCCCTCCCAACCCCCAGAAAGGGGGCTTTTTCCTTGCGCCGTCGTTTTCTTACGTGGCACCCCTCCTCCCCCGCGGTATAAGTCTGAGAGTTACTTGGGCCTCCGGTCTCAGTCGGGTACGGACCTCCTTAGTGAGAACTGGGACTTGTTGTGTTTCAGTGAGCCGAGTATGTGCTTGTGATTATCCTCCGGTGTGCCTGTGGTCTTGTGCGTCTTACGCCGTAGGGTAGCAGCCCCGTCCTTCGCGATCCGAGGACACTTGACCGGCCTCAAGATTATCTCGACACCGTTGGACTTACGCTCCTCTTCGGGGGACCAGATGTCGGCGGATATCCAACAGGCGGTCCTCATCCAAAGGCCCGTCTTCAAGATGAATCCGGCGGCCGACTTCTGGCAGAGGGGACCGCCTTCGGCGAGCCCCCAGCTCAGCCCGGACACGCAGCAGCAGAACGGGCAACAGGATTACGCGACGACTGTGACCCCGGCGACCACCACCACGGGGACGCAGCCTCAGCCGCAGGACCAGCTCCTCCAGAGGCAGTCCCCCGAGTGCCAGAATCAACAGCAGCAACAGCCCCAGCCCCAACCGCAACAGCAGACGCAGCAGCAATCCCAACAGACTCAGTCCTCCGTCGGTTCGCCTCACGAGCCGGCACAACACACCTCGCCGCCGATCGTCCGATCCCCACAAAACCACTTACAACAACAACAACAATTACACCAACAACAATTACAGCAGCAACACCAGCTCCAGGGGGTCCAGCAGAACCCGCAGGAGCTGCCGCAAGACCTCCAAGTCGCATGTGTCAGCCCCTCGTTACAGCTCCCCGACCCGAAAGCCATGACAGAGAAGTTAGTGAGCGAATTACAGGTACGTCAAAATGGTTTATTATTTTTAAAAAAAATTGTGTTGACAAAGTCGTACTTCACGCTACCCACGTGTACGCCTGCCGGGCCTCGAAACCCTCCCCTCATCAACACCCCAGACACGTTTTTTTTTTTTTAACCACGTGATTCCCCTCCAAAAAAAACTCGTCATTCTTTATTTATCTCCACCCTTTCAACACCTGATCGCCGGCGAAGGGAAACAAAACAATGACAAACTTTTTTCTGTTCTCTCGCATATAAAGTGACAAAAATCGGGTCTTCCGCTATAAAAAAAACAAAACAAAAAAACACTTTCTTTTGCTTTACACGTTTATGCTAAATAATATGTTTTTACCACGTTGAATCACTTAAAATCGCTAAAGTTTCATTTCATCCTGTACTGACGAAAAGTTTCTTCAAGTCCGTATGTCCGATCAATTTTTACAATTTGAAATTTAATTCCCATTTCGATGATTGGTAGTTGAATATTCAGAAATTTACAAAAAGAACGGCGTCTGATTTTATTTGTATTTCCCCGCGCTATTGGTGAAATTTTATTTCAAACGGATATATTTTCCAAAAAGTGTCAATACCCGGTGTATCCGAACGCCGACTCGATGTTATTATATTTTTATTCGCCCTCCTAAGTTTTTTGAAGTGCGGTAAAACGGGTAGATTATATACGTCGGAAAATAAACATAAACCGCCGGCACCCTAACTTTGAAAAACAAACATTGGTTTTTCACCCTGTCGAATATTTTAAAACTTCTTACCAATCGGAATTATCATACGTTTGTCACATTGTTAAAAAAAATTAAATTTGACAAAAATATTTTTTCGGCCGTTGATTATATATTTTTTTAGTAAAAGCAAGAATCACGAATAATTATATTAATTCAGTGATGTTTGAACAAAATCGTTTTAATTGTTTTCAGCCTTGTCATTTTTATTAATGTATCGTTTTTGAAAAAATATCAAATTTCAAAATTTACGGTTGTAACGCATCAACGTATATTATTTGTCGCGTCCATGTCCTAACTATTGCTTGTTTACATTATTGACACTTTTGACATTAGATTTTTGGAACTTTTGAAATTGACTTTGACTATAATACCTCATATCGTGAATATCAATTGAAAATAATTTCCACAAAATTACTATATTTTCCGTTTTTTTAATTATGATTAATAAAAGGGTGGGTTGTTTTTCGCGGAATTTTCTTCTTTTCCTTAAGAAAGGCTGAAACAAGTTATACTTCGTTGTAATATTTCCCCTGTCAACAATAAACAATTAGCCACCTGCTCATCATAAATCAAAATTGACTAAATTAAAAGTAACTTATTCAATTAAATTTCATAATTCAAAAAGTTGTTCCGTGGAGATATTGTTTACTTTCATAATAATTTAACAAAAGTCTTAATGCTGCAAAAGCAAATATTACAAAATTGATTTATTTTATTTTTTTCAACAAACATCATCATTATAACTTAGTTTGCCAAATGATAAGACAAAACAGTTGGTTTGGATTATTAAAAAAAATTATGCTTTTATAATCCAAATGAGAATATACAGCAAAAAGAGAAGAAAGAAAAAAAAACTTGTTATATTTATTGATACATGCAACTTTTCCGTAAATTTACGTTAAAAAAAATAATTTATATAAACAGATCTTGAAAATAAAAATTCTTGGCTGTTTTGCTATTTCATCAGTGCTCACTTCTCAAATCCAATTAAATGAATATTTTTTAAGACTTTAATTCAAAGTTTGTTGTAAACCTAAAAAACCTTGAAAATCAAAATTTGAACAGTTTATAATATTTGTGGAAATAAATTTTGTCTCAATAAAAACAAATAACCTGTTTTAACTCATGTAAACATTTTTGTCTTAAAATCAGTCAAATTCGGCTTTTTAAATATTATGAATTTCTTCTATTTCTTTGTCTTTCTAAAGTCTTCTTAATATTTTTACCGAAGGAATTACTAGCTTAGATTTTTTTTTAAATCAAAATATTTAAAAGCTGTCATTAATGTTTGCCAAAGTTCTTTACATCAAACATAATTTTCAAAATTCCTATTTTCGTATGTTTTCTGGGTCGAGTAATAAAACTGGTTTATCCCTCTAAAAGCTCCGTAATTTTTCTCAAGTACGGGCCTCAAAATTTTCAACCCCTGTCAGAAAACATTCCGACACTTTTACCCCCCCCCCCTAAAAAGTAAAAAATAAAAAATGGGAATCGATGTGTTTTTATTTATATAATCACGTAATATCATCGTATGACAAGGGCCGAGAGATGAAAAGGAACTGGGGGGTGGGTGGGTGACAGGTGGTGTGCGTGCGGCCCATGGAAATTGGGTGGGGGGAGCCCATGCGTGCGCACACTTCCCCTCCGCGTACTTCGCCTACCCCCACTCCTTTTAGGGGACGCCTCTTACGGCCAGTCGTCCGCCGAACTTTGCGTACGGCAGAACTCTCAGCCCTTATTTTATTATTTATTACGAAACTTCCTTTACCCGACGAGCTTTCCTTCCCAAAACCCTGTTTTATGTCTCAATTATTTATTTTCCCTTTTATCTTTAAATTTTTTAAGTAGAGAAAATTCTCTAATCTTCATTATACAAAAGAGAAAATTATCAGACTCATGTTTTAATAATTACGAGATGTCTAGAATGGATTATAGTATTTGATATACCATCAAACAATACAATCAGTAGTTTTATTTATGAAAATTTTCATTGTCTTTACAATATATAAAAAAAGACTAGCGAAATTACCAACAAAACTTGGAAGTATTGCTTATTTTATAATAAATATATACAGTTTATTTACAATAATAGTAATAATCTCTTCTGTGCTGTGTATCTATTGCATCCAATAAAGTATAGTTATGCAATTAAGTCCCAATCTTGTCGATTATTAAACCCAAGATAAAACTTAACAACCTGTACTACCAAATTATCGTCCATTGATCCGTTATTTGCTGCTTTGAATCGATCCTAATCCATCTAGAAATAATTATAAAAGAATCCCGAATCACAATAATAAAAGTCTAAACGATGAGTAAATTGTGAAATATTTGAGTTAAACTTAAAATCCAATATTAACTTAAAATTGTTCAACTCTCCTGAGATGTTTTTCCATCTTGAAATAGTTTTTTTCTGCATTTTTATATCATGTGTATGATTTTTGGTACAAATAATTATTGAAAGATTGGAATTGCGAGATTCAATAATAAAAATATTTATTTATATATTGCCAAAATTAAGCCGTCATATCATTACAAGCTGTTTTCTTGACTACTGGGCGAACATGCTTAAAAAGACCAATAATTGTTAAACTGCGTGAAATTGCTGGAAACGATAAAACGCCTTTTAAAGGTTACAGTAATACTAAAGAATTTTACAACCTTCAATATTAAATTGAAAAGTCTGGATGGAGGAGAAAAAAGGAAATAATAAACTTTACTGCGGCGTAAACGATAGATTATAATGTTAAAGATATATTTTCCGAGTTGGAATTTAAATTTATTCCCCTTGATTATGTTGAAATTTAGATTTTCCTTGTCAAATATTTTGCCTAATTACTATTTTGTTAATTATATTGAGTGTATTATTATTAGTCATACAAGCCTATGGGAAATGTTTAAATTATTATGGAGCTAAAATTCGAAATTCTAATTAAAGTACAGGAATAAATTTTATAATTTAAAATGGTTGTTTCGCATACATATTTAGTAGTTTTAGTATTTTAAAAGTATAAATTAAAGCTTTGGATAGATTAGTTTATAAAAGGTTTAAATGTTAAGGCGAGAAATGACCTTAGCCGTAAAAACGCCCTTAAAAATTAATAATAATAATAATATATTATGTGTAATTCACGGGTAAAATTTGAAGGTTTTCTCGTATTGTGTTTTTTGGGAGTTTAATTTGTAGAAAAACACAGCATAGCAATTAAAAATTCCTTGATTGCGCTCAATATTAAACTATATGTAATTATTATATTGTTAATTGTGTTTTGTGTGTTATTCATGGCTGTAATACGAAGTTCTACTCAAATTATTATTATTTTTATTGTTTCATTTTTTTTTCGGACGGGGTTAATGTATAGAAAAATACACCGCAACAGCTAAAAGTCCTTGATTACCTTGAATTTTAATTTTAACTTGTTACGAACTATCCTTGCTAATTATTATATTGGTAATTGTGTTTTATTTGTAATTCGTGGTTGCAATTTGAAGAACTATCGAAATTAATTTTTTGTGGGGTTTAATAAGTAGAAAAATACACCTCAACAGCTAAAAGTTCTTGATTATCCTGAATTTTAAATTTAACTCGTTACGAACTGTTTTGGCTAATTAATATTTTATTAATTGTATTTCATTTGTAATTCATAGTTATAACTCGAAGATCTTCTCGAATTATTTTTTTAGGAGTTAAATTTGTTGAAAAACACATCGCAGTAGCTAAATGTCCTTGACTATGCTGAATTTTAAATGCTATATAATAATAAATAATAATAACATATAAATAAAAGAATATACTATAAATATATTTAATATGATCAAACTTGTAAACAATACTTCTTTCTTTTTAATTATTTTATCAACTTCTACTTAATTATATAAATACTCGATTATTTGTTCACATTTTTTTCGAAATGAAAAATTTGTGTCACAGGCGGGATTCGAACCGAATCTTTCCGAATTCGAAACAAATCGAACAGCCGAAAGTCATGGGTTCGATTCCCGCCTGTGACCGAAATTTTTCATATCGAAAAAATTGTGTATGACTAATTGAGTATTTATACTTATTTCTGTTAAAAGCGCACTTTTGACGTATGGCAAAATCCCCAAAGTACTATAATATATTTTATTATATTTACCAAAATTCAAAAAATGATATAGTTCCATCCCTATTATTCTACGATTAGGATACTCATGGAAAATGTACAATCAATCATTTATGAAACTTTTTTATTTTCGATAGTTTAAAAATTTATAAAAAGCTTTGCTTGTACTAAAAGCGTCTTAAAATTTTGTCATCCATTTGAGCGATACTCGTTATAATCCGTTTTATTCGTTTTTTAAACATAAATAATGAGTTTTTCATAAAAATTACCTTATATTTCAGTTCATTACGTTTATACAATATATCTCAATACATTTTATTTTTTATAAATACCGGTGTTGGTATATATTTAATAATTATAATTTTCTGGAAGTAGGGGAGAAATTTGTACATTAAGAACTATCAGATGAAAAGAAATCTGGAAAAAATACTACGTCATATGGAATCTATACAAAAGAGTAAATCTAATCAGATAGAAGTGAAATTTTGTAAAAAAAAATTTCCCTGGTAATACAGGGTTTATAAAAAAAATTGACTGAGTGTAAAGAATTCTTTATTTGCTGTTTTGAACATGTAACTTAATGACTATATATTTATAATAATTGTTTTGTGAGTCTGTTAATTTTTAAAATAATACTGTCCATAGGTTCATCAGATTTAAAAATTATTTCCAGTCTTATTAGTCTGATGTATTTATAATTGATTTATCCTTTTCCAGCGTGAAGTGCAACAATGTCAATTAATTTTAATATTAGATTTAAGTTTATTATGTTATATTGGTGATGTTCATATCAAATTCTCAGTAGTCATTTCATGGTAAATGGTTAAATATGGTGGTGTTCTTTTAAAGATAGGGTTATTGGCGCTTGTTTTGGTGGTGGGCTGGATGCTGCGGGGGCGGCATAGTGGCCAGGAGGGCCGAGAGAGTTCTCTGCAACCGCCCCCGCAGACGCCCCTCGGGCACTTTTGGCTATTAACATGTGTTCTTTCTCTGTTTCTGCTTCCTTCTCCTTACGCCTTTACCTTTCGTCGAATCTGTGCAGAATCGGTCTGGGGTGATATCCGACCGGACTTTGGAAGAATGCTGGAACGCCCTTCAAAGAGTGAGTCGATTATTTTCAAGCCCCGTTTGTCATGTTTTTTAAATGTAGTATTTGCATGGATTTTTACTATTTGTCGTGTTGCATGCTCTCCTTTAGCACTTTGTGTTTGTTTTATGCCACTATAACTTGCATATTTTCCGCCTATTTTTCAATACCACACCTAGAAATCAGACTTTTGACATTTATAAGATAATTTATCATTTCTATCATTTTTATTTATAAGGTCGTCTGGAGGTATTTCATTTTTCACGCCTAAAATCATGTTATCAAATAGAAATATATCAGTATGAAAAACAATTCGTTCATTAACAATTCTAGATCTTAACTATTATTGAAATTCTCAAAGTATACCGGTTGAAATAGGCTTCAAGGGTGTAAATTGTATATCCTTAACAACTTCATTGTATAAAAGTCATTTACCTCAAGTGACTGACCTATAAAATAACTTGGAAGTATAAATTGGGCCATTTTAACGGTTTTACATTATTGCACACAAAAATGATATCGTCCAATATATAAAAAAGACATTGTCTTCAAATGACTGGCCAATGAAATACCTTCTATGTACAAAAACGTCCAATTTAACGGTTTTTATAATATTGCAAAAAATGACATCGTCCAATGCTTAAAAGTCATTTTTTCAAATGACTGGTCAATGAAATACCTTCTAAGTACAAATTGGGCAAATTTAACGGTTTTTCATTATTGAAAAAAAATGACATCGTTCAACGTACAAAAAAGTCATTTATTCAAGTCACTGGCCAATAAAATACCTTCTATGTACAAATAGATTCAATTGTATACTCAATTTTTTACATTATTGCAAAAAATGACATCGTCCAATGCAAAAGAAAAGACATTGTCTTCAAATGACTGGTCAATTAAATACCTTCTATTTACAAATTGGTCGAATTTAACGGTTTTTATATTATTGCAAAAAAAAGACATCGTCCTATGAATAAAAAAGTCATTTGTTCAAATGACTGGTCAATGAAATACCTTCTAAGTATAAATTGGCGAAATTTAACAGTTTTTCATTATTGCAAAAAAATGACATCGTTCAACGTACAAGTCATTTATTCAAATGACTGCCCAATGAAATATCTTCTACGTACAAATAGTTTCAATTTAATGGTTTTTATATTCTTGCAAAACAAGACATCGTTCAATGTATAAAAAAGTCATTCATTCAAATGACTGCCCAATGAAATACCTTCTATGTACAAATAGTTTCATTCGGTTTCATTCTTACAAAAAATGACATCGTCCAATGCATAAAAAAGACATTGTTTTCAAATGACTGGCCAATTGAATATCTTCTATGGAAAAATTGGTCCAATTTAACAGTTCTTTCATTATTGCAAAAAAATTACCTCAAGTGACTGGCCAATAAAATAACTTCTAAGTACAAATTGGAACATATTAAGGCAATTGTACATTTTTTGTATTTACTTGTGCATGCTTTGAGTGAGCTTTGTTTAATATTCCAATGCTTTCTTTGTTGTCAGTTTATACTGATTATATTCTGCATGTGATATAAGCTTCAAAGGAAATTTTCATTAACACCTTTACAGCATATATTAGTTTATTCTTGAAATAAGAAGATAGAAAACTATTTTGAATTTTAAATTACCAAAAAAAATATTTTCAGGCTGCATTTCACACACATATTAACTTGTTCAAATCATTTATAGAATCAAACCTTAAATAAACCTCGGTAAAAAATTTAAAAAAATATAACAGATGCTTTATTGGGTTTGTCAGTTTATCTTTTAAACTCGTTTAGATTTTCGGGAGATATGTGATGCCAAAGGACCAAATTATTGACCTTACTAGTGGAATTCGTTCATCAATCTTAACAGGCTAATTAATTTTGAAAGAGGGGTGGAAAGGATGGAAAATCGACCCCTTAGGCAGATCCAATCGGCTTCTGAGCTCGAATAGTATCAATTGGTTTTTCTACACTGAACCGCTGTTCATCCTGCGATGTTAATTTGTTTTTGTGTCGGAAGCGATGGGGTTGTGCTTTTTGTCAGCTCTGAGATTTTTTCCGGATTACGATTTGAAAACTGGCCCGACCGGTATGTTAATCGGCGTATTGTTCTAACCAGGGGCCAAGAGTTTGTCGCATGTCAACTGTCTTGCACTTTCCCTCCTTTTTTTTGTCTTTTCACTGCATTTCACTGTCTCAGAAGATCGGTCTTCTTTTAAACTGTGTTTCTGGCTAACGGCGATCGTAATTTAATGCCTGGCATCGCAACTGTTATTACTGAGCGCTCATGACGTGCCGTACCGAACAACAATCAGTAATAACTTGAAATTACGCTGCTTGATCGTTTACAAAAATCTGATGTTAAACCATCTCTTAAAGGTAGGTCGATGACTAGAAGATAACCAGTTAATTAAATGTGTATTTCGTGTTTATTGGCTCTTTAATGAACACCGATAATACGTTTTAAATAGCGCACGGATCAGTTTTTTTCTGTTTAAATTGCAGTAAATTACAACTACCTTCAATTCGGTAACATTTAAACTGAGATAGGAAATGCAAACAAAATTAAAAACAAGGGTGGAGAAAATACCCATTGGTCAGTAAGGTCTTCCCAGTCCGTAAATCCATACCGACTTAACTATGTGTCGTAAAACAGTATTTTTGGGAGGTAAGTCAGGGTGTTTGTCCGTCGTGTAAGATCGTTTTGTAACTTCTTGATGTTTCGGTCCTGTTTGAGGATTTGACGTGAAGCGTGTATGTGATCCTGGTCGCACCTTGAACGCATTGGAGGGGGGGTATTTGAAATATTAAAGGATCAACCTTTTACTGAGAATTTGGAGGTCGTGAGATGCGGTCTGGTGTGACGTAGGTTTTAGAAAAACATCTTCTTTATCGTACCAACGTTTCGATCTTTAATGAGATCGTCTTCAGGGCTCAAAGTGTTTGTTTTCCGTGTAGATGTGTCATTCTTGTCTGTCATGTTGAGAGTGCCTCTGGACACAACAAACACTTTGAGCCCTGACGACGATATCAATAAAGATCGAAATGTTGGCTTGATGACCGCATCTCATGACCTCCAAATTTAAGTAACGGTCACCAAACACCACACATTTTTACAGGACACCAGTCCTTTATTCCTGGTTAAATTTTATTCTTTGCTTTTGCGTATGGTATGGTATGGTGAAAAAGGATATTAGGAAGCGGGGTTTGCACCTCCCAGGCACTGCAGCCTTCTGGCTTATTGTACCTTCCTAGTTCCTTAGTTCGGTGCAATAGACTCAATCCTTCTTCCTAGAAGTATCAGGTCATTGACTGCTTTGTAATGCATCATCTGGCAAAGGTTAGGGTTGTTTGAGAGGTTTGTGTCCAATAACCAACTTGGACATATTCTGAGAGGATACTGCTTTCAATGACTTGGAATAACCAAAGTGAGATGGGTATGCAGTATGAGGTAGTAGGTGGATGTCCTTGAACATGAACACCCCGGGTGCCAACGTCGATCTTACGTCTCAGCTTAGGTTAACAGCCCAAGAACAACACTGCCCCAACTCAAGAAAGAGATGTGTACCACAGTTGGACAGTTAAGTAGCAGTTGTGAAAACCTGTGGTCGGGGATTATATTTTGAGAATTACGTTTGGAAGAATTTAATAGCTTCTTTTTAAAAAGATAGTTCGCATTCACAGCAGTTGTTTTTAACGACCGGATTTCGAGCTCATAGGTCATCATCAGATCGAAGGAGTTCTACAATCACATCTCTCCCACATGGATTGAAAGACAGAACCCCTCGATCCCCTGGTTTTTATATCAGGACAATTATCGACGTGCGAAATCATCATTTCTATTCGTTTTAATAGTTTTTCTAAAATTACCAAAAATGGGCAAATTATTTTGCCAATATGAAGCAGTACAATGTGTCGGGTTTTGGGTTTGGTTCGTATATACCAGTGGTCGGCAAACTCGTCGTCCAAAAGAGCCAAATATAATCAAAAATACAAAATTAAAGTTTATTCAAAGAGCCATTTTTTGAACTTAAGCTTTGTTTTATTAGACATTTGTATGGAAATAATTAGAATTAAAAGTACGCTCTCGAAAGTAGGGGTAAGTCTGCTTTTATGTTGTTTTTAATTTTAGGCCCGATTCCAAGTTCTCATCGATAAGCCGATTTCTTAATCTACTCTTGATAAAGTTCACGCTTGAAAATTATTGTTCGCATAAATATGTAAACTCAAATAAAGAAAGAACAGGAAACGCTAGTTTCTTCAGTTGACCATCATCAAGTGTTAAAAATCAACGTATCTTCCCTCGCCAGATCTTTCAAAGCAGACTGTGCTGTAAATTTAAGTCACATTTATTTTGCTCCAATAGCTGTAAATCTTTAGCTCTTTTTTGAGCTCAAAAATTCTTTATTTTTTTAAATCTAGCAACTGCATTTCAAAGCTGCCAATATCAATATTAAAGGGCAAAAAATTTTGTTACCGTGGCATTCAGAGGTTTTTTTTAACGAAGGCTAGCGTCGCTTTGTTGTTTCTAAAGTCTTTGAACCTGCTGAGCAAATGTGTGGTGATTAGTGACAGTTAATCGATAATTATTCAGAAATCGTGAGATGCGGTCTGGTGTGACGTAGGTTTAGAAAAACCATTTTCTTTATCGTGCCAACGTTTCGATCTTTATTGAGATCATCTTCAGGGCTCAAAGTGTTTGTCTTCTGTGTAATTGTGCCATTGTGCCAATTGTGTGTGAAGGCAAACACTTTGAGCCTTGAAGTTGATCTCAATAAAGATCGAAACGTTGGCTCGATAAACAAAATGGTTTTTCTAAACCTACGTCACATCATACCGCATAATAATAATAATAATTAAATACTCGAAATTCCCTAGTTAAACTATTTCGCTATGGCGTTCATCGTGAATTTTCTTCTTTCTGTTTTGACTTGATGTCTCTAGCCTTGAAATTGGCAGTCACTGATGCTGATGGGCAAAACCCCTCCTGTTTTTTTCCAACTTGTCG